CACACTAGAGAAACTATTCAGTATTTACGTATGTGTGTCCTATTTATTTCACTTAAGAGTATGGCCTCGATATGCATCCATTTAGCTATAAATGTCTCTAGTTTCTTGTTCTTTATGGCTGAGTAGTACTCCATTTTACAGAAAAAAACCACATCTTCTTCATCCAGTCTCCAGTTAATGGTCATTTGGGCTGCTTCCAAGCTTTAGCTATTACAAACTGTGCCGCTATGAACATGGGTGTGCATATATCACTGGACGCACTTAATTTTAAAGTTTTTTTCTTGGTATATATTTGCAGTAGTTATTTTTTTTTAATGTTTAAAATAATTTCTGTTTTCTTTCTGGCCTTGAACTTGCTGCAATCCTCCTACCTCAGCTCCTGGGTTCTGGGATTATAGGCATGTACCACCACGCCTGACTCAGTGCATATATTTTGGCCATCTCTAACCCCCCATTGCCATCCCTTACATTCCTCTCCCCTTTATTTCCTTCCTTTTATCTAATAATATTCTCTCTTCTACTACTTTTATGTCATCTGTTTTAGATTCCACAAATTGGGGAGAACATGGAATATCTGTCTTTCTGAATCAGGCTTATTTCACTCAGCATGATGATCTTCAGATCCATGCATTTTCCTTTTTTTGGGTCCTTCCACCAATGTACCAAATTACTATGTTAGTTTTCCATTTTCATTTGAAAAATTCTGATGCCATGAAATTAAGTTCTGGGTGTATCTATCTGACCACAAATCTTAGAAGTGCAATGTCTTCTGTAGATATTAAGTTCACAGCTCATTAAAAAGATCCTGAATCCTGGGCAAGGGTGCCAGTTAGCATTCTGGTGCCTTTGGGAGAGCCTCTTCCTGCCCTGCTCTGTCATCCTGCTGGGGCTCCGTCACGCTGCCCTCTGGGGGCCCCTGTTGCCCACAGGAATACATTTGAGTCCTTCGGGACATCAGTGAGGATCTTCCACCTTCCTTGATGCCTCTCTGACAGTCCCAGCCAATTTTAAAGTAAACCCATAGGGCGGGGAATGTAACTCAGTGTCGCCACACAGGCCTGGCAAGTACAAGGTCCTGAGTTTGATTTCTGGTACCAGGGGAAAAAAAGTAAACTAGCAGGGCATCGAATCACCCCAATAAAGCTGTAGCATTCATACATGTACTCAACAAATCTACAGGGCTAGTTTTAGCACTTTTAAAGAATTTGTTTTATATCTGTCATACCACACAATGTTTTTTTGTTTTTTGATACTGGAGATCGAACTCAGGACCTTTGCACTTGCAAGGCAGGTGCAGTGCCACTGAGCTAAATCCCTGGCCCTCCACACAACATGTTTTAAACACTGACTATGTCTCCCTAGTAAGATAAAGCAAAGACAAAAGACCTTATTAGCAACAAAGACACCATCACCTACAGTCATCAGACATCACTGCACTTTAACTTCTGTAATTTGACAAAGCATTCGTAAAATAATCTGCAGACTATTTAACAGACCAGCAACACTTTAAGCAGATGTGACTGTCTACCTTGTTTATTAGGTCATGAATTTACAAACAGCAAGCAGCACCTGAGCACCACCCACGGTGTGGTGGACCTTGTGGCCCTTTCCGAGGTGCGGCTCTCAGTCCACGCATCTCCCTGTGGCGTGGACTGGCATGGTGGTCCACTGGGTGTCAGAGTCTGTGGAACGGATCCATGAAGTTAACTTCAAAGCATCTTCACCAACTCAGCAAGAATTGAGACCTCTCCACCCCACAGCGCCATCCAACTCATTCCTGGCAACAGATGGGAGGCTTTGAGTTTACTTTAGCTGGCCAGCACCGGACAGACTTGCTATAACTCGTACCTGGGCATTTGCACCCACCACGGCACACATGACTCTTGTGTGTGACATAACCCTCCTTGGCCTTGTATCCCTGTCTAACTGCTTTATCTGGCGGGGGCAGGCAGGGAGCTCTGGGGAGCACAGAAAGCTGAGTGCTGCCCGCGATGGACCCTCAGAAGAAAGTATCTCTCCAGACTGCTTCTCCCTGCCCAGCTGTGGATGTACTTTCTGCACCCACCTTGGCTTGCTTCTGAGACAAGCTGATGGCTGCCACCAGATGGAAACAAAGGAGCCTTTCTCTCTGTGTGAGTCAATACACACTGACAGGAGCATTCCTGGATAGACTGCCCATGTGTGCTGTGCTTCTCTGTTGTCTCAGGTACAAGGACATCCATTTCATCTGCATGCACTCCCATAGAGACCACAACTTTGGCTGAATCAATGGTGGTGACCAAATAGCCACACCATTGCTTCTGTCATCTTAGCCTACTGGGTACATACTTATTTTCTAACCAGTTGGTGACTTTGCTTGGTTTTTCAGGCAAATGCAGCTTTAATGCATTAAACGATCCTGGAATTTCATCAGCTGGAAGGGGTGCCAGTCCAGACAAATGATACATTTTAAAACTGAAGTTTCCATCTTTGCTGTATCACATGAGCAATCCACTCATTTGAATTTTCCACCAAATGCTTTGGGCTGAATGGGAAAAACAAACTTTATTGGTAACACCTTGAAATTCATTTTACAGACTCAATCACACCTATCTCTGTATCTCTTTTTTTGCTGCTGTTGTTGTTTGTTTACTTGTTTGTTTTGTTTGTTTCTTGAGACAGGGTCTCATTACGTAGTTTCATCTAGTCTTGAGCTCACTATGTAGCCCAGGCTGGCCTCGAACTCATGGCAATTCTCCTGCCTCAGCCTCCCAAGTGCTGGGATTACAGGTGTGCACCACCATGCCCAGCCCAAAACTTTTTTTATAGTTTGGGGATTCAATTGAAATCCAATTTTTCTTTTCCTGCAAAGTCCACCAAATCTTTATAAGCCTTTATAAAGTGCTTTGTCTTTTCTAGTTATCAATTCCTAAATGAGCAGATGGATTCTAGAGTATGCAGGCCTAGCAGGGGCATGAATTGTATATATTTGATAAAAAAACAGTAGGGACAATTTTGGAAGTGAAACACATGCTAGTTTTTCTATATTAAATCTAGTGGTAGCTGGGTGTGGTGCCACACACCTGTAGTCCCAGCACTTCAGAGGCAGGAGGATCAGACACCATGAGCTGAGGCCGGCCTGGGCTACACAGTGAGTTCAAGGCCAGCCTGAACTACATATGAGACCCTTTCTCAAAAAACCAAAAATAAATAAACCAATAAATAAAACATTATAATAATACATTTAATTCGTTTTATGCATTGGAGGAAGCTCTATATCAGCAAGTGCCTGGAGTTTAGAATGCCACTGAGTTTATCAAATTATTTTGTTTTTATGTTATTATTATTATTATTTTGATTTTTTAGGGTCTTACTATATAGTACACTTGAACTTACTACGCGCCCCAGGCTGGCCTTGAATTTGTGGTAAACTTCCTGCCTCAGCCTTCCAAGTGCTGGGATTATAGGTATGTGTCACCACACCTGGCTGAATTGTTTTCATCATCGAAGGACCTCGACGGTAAGCATGGAGCCCTGAGTGAGGGGACAGGAGTGCCAACTGGAGTACAGCCAGGAATGCAGGAATTCCTTCCCCAGAACCCAGCTTTCTACTCCTCTCACGCAGCCTTGAGAATTGTGAATCTCAGGATCTCATCTTTGGAGATTTCGACATGGGATTTTGGCCTTCAAGACTGTATTTTCAGGGTTCTGAGGGCGCTGGATGAAAGGGATGATAATCCTGGAGCTCAGGTACAGCTCCCTGGGGAGGGAAGACTGCAGCTTCGAGAGGCTGGGCAGGCTCATGTGCACCCACCCCACCTGCCGCTCTGAGCAAATGTCTTGCTGCTGGGGCTGTACTGTCCTCTCATGCTTCCAAACCAATCCCCTACGTTGTCAAGGGCATGGAATTGGAGAGTCCACCAAGCATTAAAATAAGGTAGAAGACAGAATACATTTGACCAAATTCCTATCAGCATCTGGCTTTTTTTTTGAGACAGGGTCTCACTGTGTAGTCCGGGCTGGCCTCGAACTTGCAGTGATTCTCCTGCCTCAGCCTTCAGAGTGCTGGGATTACAGGCATGCACACCAAACCTGGCCCAGCATCTTCTTATAATTGTAGCATTATAATCAGAGAGGACAGATGCCTCGTAGATGCATTTTGTCTTCAAGGGTCATTGGCCCCAGTCCTGCACCCATGGGAGCTGTGTGTGGGAGACACACTGACCCCAGCCTGCATTCTCCTGTTGGGGTCACCCAAGGGGCTCTTGCTCATCCCAGTCCAATTTTCCTTAGTCACATTCTCCCCTGTATCAGTCAGTGTCCCTTATTTCCACAGCCATGAAAGTGTGTGGGGAGCTGGCAGGCACCGGGCTGTGGTTCACAGGGGTCCCTGCTCGTCCTCTGTGCCCCTGGTCCCGGTTCTGCCAGATCCCTAGTGACCCACAGGGCTCTGCCACAGTCCTAAAGCAAAGGCTAGAACTCGTTTTCACTGAGCTCCCACAAAGCTGAGGCCTTGCTTGAGTTATGTCACTTCATCCCGTCAGCTTGCGTGCTCTGACATCGTGTTTCACAGTGAAGAGCTTCACAGCACAGAGAGCAAGGGACCTGCTTTGTAAGTTTCTGCAGTGGGGTGAGTGGCCAAGCTGGAATTCCCACCCAGTTCTATGTGACAGTGCAGCTGAAATCTCTGCTCATTTCTCCCACCACTCATTGCTTGGTTTAATCTATTTCCCCTATTACATTTTTAAAAAATTGAATGTTTATTTTAGAACAATATGAAAACATAAAAGAATAAAAATCTTTCATAATCCTACTGCCCAAAGAAAACTAATGTTAATATTCACTTTTAAAAATATAGTCATTTTCCTAGCTTTCTTTGAACTAAGTTGAAATGAGAATAAATATTTATCTGCCTATATAATCTGTCTCCTGTTTCTTTTGTTGTTGTTGTTGTTCTGTTTTGTATTTTGAGACAGGGTCTTGAACTTTCGGTGATCCTTCTGCCTCAGCCTCCCAAGTGCTGAGATTACAAGGCATGCCCCACCATGCCCAGCTCATTTTTAAATTTTCTAATCTTGCTCTCTAGTGAGGGCTTCCTCTTCACTGTCCACTTCCCAGGAATGCACAGCCTCTCTCTACGATCCATCTCCCCAGATCTGATATTCCCAACCTTGCATTTATCTTTTATATAGTTTATTTCCAAAGCTCTTTGGGTTGACATGGTGGCACATACTGTAATCCCATCATTTGGGAGGCTGAGGCAGGAAGATTGCTGTGAGTTGGAGGCCAGCGTGGGCTACATAGCAAGACTCTGTCTCAAAAACCCCACAAAAACACAAAAACCCCCAACAAAACAGAACAAAAAGAGACCCTCTCAACAAATCACAAATGAAAAAACAAAAATTCTTTGGGACAAAAATTCTTAGGATTATTTGTTGTTTTGTTGTGGTGGTGGTTGTTTTATTCAGAAAAACTCAGTATGTCCTCTATTATTTAAAAAATCTTCTATGAGCAAGAAATAGAACACTAGGGAGCCAGGGATTTAGCTCAGTGGTTTTGCCGCCTGCTGCGCAAGAGCAAGGACCCAAGTTTGATCCCCAGTACTAGAAAGAGAAAAAAGAAAGAAAGAAAAGAAAGAAAGAAAGGAATAGAACACTAGGCTTTAAGGTGAAAAAACTTGGGCAGGGTAAGGTTTTCAAGTCCTCACACTGGAACTTGGAACTTAGCTCATATTCACTCTGGGGATGCCGTTAGCCTATTGTCTGAAAGGCTGCCCTTGATTTCCCTTTGATCTTCACTGTTTTCTCTTTTTGTGGCACTGGGGATTGAACCAGGGCCCTGCACCTGCCAAGCACGTGCTCTACAATTGAGCTCGACCTGCATCCATTCACATTTTTATATCAATGTTTCCCACCGATCAGGGGACTAGGTAAACTTAAAATGCCGCATGGGACTGGGCTGGAATGGATGGTGGACTGGGGATCACTGGGGAAAAGCACTAGAGCACGAGAGCTTTCCAAGGCTGGGGATGGGGCTGCGCCACAGCACTGACTATTGCCAAGGTGAGACACAACTGTGCTGGGCAGAGTGAAGGTAAGTGCAACACTGATCTGGAATGTCATCAACCCTTTGTATGTTTGTTAGCCTCTCACTGGGAAAGTCAAAGTGTGACAGGAGAAAGGGGATTTATTCCCTTTGACTATTTTCTCTTTCTTGTTTTGTTTTTTTCGAGACAGGGTTTTGATGTAGCCCAGGCTGGCCTCAAACTCACTTTGATCCTCCTGCCTCAGCCTCCCGAGTGCTGGGATTAAAGGTCTCCACCACCATGCCCCAAGTCCCTTTGACTATTTTAAAATGCAGTTTCTAAAACCAGATCAGGTGAAAACATTTTTGCTCTTGACTAAAAGGGTAAAGATTGCAAAATTGATATGAGGAGGTACAACATGGGAAAAGATCTTTCATAAGTTCTCCCGATAAGTGAATTTCTGAACATTAAAAACAATATTTAGTACTGATTTTATTACAGGGAGTATAATCCTAACATTTCCTCATGTAATTTCAGATAATATACTGAATTTAGGAACTAAATTTATTGCAATTGAATTGACAAACCATCTATAAAATTTTGCAGTTTTTCTTATTTACAGACTAGAGCTATGCAGGCTGGGCATTGTGGTTCATGCCTGTAATCTTAGCATTTGGGAGGCTGAGGCAGGAGGATTGCTGTGAGTTTGAGGCCAGTCTGGGCTACATAGTGAGTTCAAGGCCATCTTGGACTACATAGCAAGACCCTGTCTCAAAAAAAAAAAAAAAAAAAAAAAGACTAGAGCTATGCAAAAGCTCAGTGTCTGTAAGTGAGCTGTCTGGGTGTGGGTGGTGCATGCCTGTGATACCAGCACTTGGGAGGCCGAGGCAGAAAGATTGCTACAAATTTGAGGCCAGCTTGGGCTACATAGTGAGTTCAAGGTCAGCCTGAACTACATAGTGGATCCCGTCTCAAAAAAAATAAGAGAGAGAGAGAAGGAAATATGTCTATGAGTGAAAATTATCTACCGGGCCATTTTCAGAGTGTAATTTCCTTAAGAGAACACCTCAGGTTTGATGTTGAATTCTATTCATTTGAACATAGAACAGTTACTTGACCAAGTCATGCCACAGTGAAAAGGGTCTGTCCATTCTTTAATTTCCCTCCCTAATATTTCACCAGCTTGACATTCAAATTTGTGTAAGGTACACAGCCCTCCCCTCGTACCAAAATCCATAAATGTTCAAGTCTATTGTATAAAGCAACATAATATTTGCATATAACCTATGCATACCCTCTTGTATACTTTAACATAATCATGTCTAGGTTACTTGTAACACCTAGAACAATGTAAATGGCATGTAAATGGTTGTTATACTGTATTGTTTAGGGAATAACGATAAGAAAAAAAGGTTCATTTGTTCGGTACAGACACAGTTTTTGTTTTACTTTTTTGAGACAGGATCTTGATATGTAGTCTAGGCTGACCTGAACTCACTATGTAGCCTGGGATGGCCTCAAACTTATGATCGTCCTGTCTCAACCACCCAAGTGCTGGGATTATAGCAATGAACCACCACACCTGGCTAGATATAATTTTTTTGTTTTGTTTTGTTTTTTGGTATCAGGGATCGAACTCGGGACCTTGTGCTTGCGAGGCAGGCACCGGAACCACTGAGCTAAATCCCCGGACCTTAGATGTAATTTTTTTTCAAATATTTTCAATCCACAGTTGGTTGAATCCTTGGTTTTGGATAAACCTGCAGATAACCTGCAGATAGACAGGGCCAAATGCACTGAAATTCCTTGGGACCTATGAGGTCGTTCCCTAATCCTTTGTTTTACAGATGAGGAAACTGAGGGCTACAGAGGTTAAATGATGTTCAAAGTCATATTGCACTTTATTAGTAATCTTGAAGTCTGAAGGCTGGCAGATTAATTTTGCAGATGATGGAAAGATAGCTAATAGAAATAGCTAAAATTTATTTCTAATTTATGCCTGACAAGATAAACATTAAATATTTGCTTAGGTCAGGTGTGGGGGTGCACACCTGTAATCCCAAGAGGCTGAGACAGGAGGATCATCACAAGTTTGAGGCCAGATTGGACCACAAGGAGGGTTTAAGGCCAGCCTGAACTCCATAGTGAGACCCTGTCTCAACAAACCAAACCAAACCAACCAACAAACAAAAAACGGTTTGCTTGGAATGGTAGGCTAAAATCAGTACGTTGAGATTTAGCATGAATAAATACAATGGCCTACACTTTGGGTTGAAAATATGTCACACAACCAGAGGTGGTGGTGCATGCCTGTAATTCCAACACTCAGGAGGCTGAGGCAGGAGGACCCCTGTAAGTTCAAGGCCAGCCTCTGCTAGTTCAGCCTGAACTGTAATAGTAAGATCCTATCTCAAAAAACAGAACCCCCCCCCAAAAAAAACCCAAAAGAAGTCACACAGTACAGGTAAAGCTCAGGTGAAACAAAAGCTGGGAGACTTAAGTCACCCACGGGTTCCCTAAAAGCCCTGAGTGGGAGGCAGCTGCTAAAAAAGTGGATGTGACCTTAGAAGCTGTCTTCATGGTCAGAGTGACCTGAGGTCACAGGAGTGACTGGCCCAGGAGATCCAGGCTGGCCGAGTCACATCTGTACCACTGTGCTTGTCTAAGAAAGACTTGGATAAACTCTAGATCGTCCCTAGAGGAGGGAGGTCCTGCGCCCTGCAGGCCCGGATGGAGGCCTCTGCAGGCAGGCGTGGTTAGCGGGGGTGGGGGGGTGGAGTGGGGGGTGGGGTGTGTGTGGCTTGTGCTGTTCCCCTCCACAGGGCCAAAGCATGGTCATTAAGGATAAGGGTCAACAGGAGAGGGATTTCTGGTCAATCTCAGAACTCTCCAACCCTGCCGACTCACCACACAGTGTTCTGGGAGTGTGTCCAGGGCAATGCTGGGGTCCGGGCCTCCAAGAGCTCTAAGAGAGCCTCTCCTTTGGGATAAAAGTTGGCTCCCTGCCTTCTAAGCTCCTTAAACTAAAAGATTTTGTGAGTCTTCATGGCTACTTTTCTTGCATGTCTATTTCCCTCTAGTAGATAATGTTTTTTGGGGTTTTTTTGGTACTGGGGATCGAACTCAGGTCCTTGTGCTTGCGAGGCAGGTGGCGGAACCACTGAGCTAAATCCCTGGCCCTAATAGATAAAGTTTTAGCCCTGATTTCTGACTCCCAAAACAATTCAGAATGGTTTGTAAGTAATATTAATCTATTATGTTAGAGATTGAATCCAGGACTATGAGCAAGCTAGGGTGCTACACTTATTTATTTGATTTTTTTTTAGACTGAGTCTCACTATGTTGTCTGTGTTGCCCAGGCTGGTCCTGAACTTGTGGGCTTAAATAATCCTCTCGCCTCAGTATCCCAAACAGCTGGGACTACAGACACATGCTACCTTGCCTGGCTGGGCACTAAATTTAAATTTAAGCTACTCAAAGAGAAATGTGTAATGCAATACATTTTTATTGTTCTATGAAGTGTAAAAAAAAAAGTGCAGGAAGACAGCATTTCCGTCTCTATTGGTATTGACCTTGGCTTCCCATGGGGTTAGAAAACCTTAGTGATGAGGGGCAACTCCTTTTCTTCATTTGCATTAACTCCAATAACAAGTATTGGGTATTTACACAAAACAGGTGCTTGATATATTTTTAGTGACTTGTGGTTCATAAAGACGGAATAGGACATTTCTTCTCCTGTCATTTTTTCAGACTTCTGGGACGAGTGTCCGGGTTGGACTCTAAGTCACGGTTCTGAACTGTACTTTGTTGCTCCAGTGAGTGATGGCCTGAACCCC